CCACTACCATGGAGGGCTTTATGAGTGGTGAGTAGCACCTTGAAGCGCACCCGGTGATCAACAGGTAGCCAGCGCAGCTCACGGAGGATCGGTGTTATGTGGGTGAACCGTGGTGCGCCCATAATCACTCGCGCGGCTGCATTCTGGACTAGCTGAAGTCGCCGGATGCTCTTCAAGGGCAGCCCCATGTAGAGCACATTGCAGTATTCCAGCCTAGAGATTTTACCTAGTTAATTAAATATCTCCAAGAAAACAACCAAGCTGAGAGAGAACCCCTTACTATACCATTTTCATCATTTTATTTTATACTATTTATATATCTCTGCAACATGGATGGAGTCATTGGACGGCGTTGCATTGACTTTCTGGTTAGGCTACGACAGAGTGTATTATTTGTGTCTATGCTTTAAAATAATTAAAGTGTTCTAGATAAAGAATCCTACTGTTGGCCATCCCAACATTGCAGCTATTTTGTCTTTCTCTCCTTAGCAGATTCTCTGTGATGAGGAGGAACAAAATGGAGGAAACACATAGTATTCTAAAATGGAAGATCAACTAAAAGGTGTATGTGTGTTGTGTAATAAAAAAAGTGGAAGCACTTTACTTACATGATGTATGATGCTCCTACTGATGAATAGGATCAGTCATAGAACACACCCAATGCCATTATCCAATCCAAAGTATATCAACATAAATCTGTGATATCTGTGCCTCCAATTTCTCCTCTGTTTCAGGCCTGCAAGAGGCAAGTTAAGGTGCAGTGATTGGTGCATTTCTCTGCTGGCAATCAAAAGCTCTAGCAATCACTTTCCCCCAAAGATCTACCAATCCCTTTCTCTAACGTAGGGTGGGAGGCTGGAGCGCAGGAAGAGGCGAATTTTGATAGGGCGGGAATGGTTGGTTGGGCCATCTGGTGGAACCTAAAATGGAGGGAGATCTCAGAAAAGTAGGAGAAGCTCTTCCCTCCTGCTTTACTAGGAAGCCCTACCCAATGCCGTCTGCTCATTTTCCATGTGGGGCATCTAAGAGACATGAGTAAACATGCTACTCCCATATCCAGCTCTGGACTGCCCATGGGGGATATTGGATGAAGCAAGGGGATCCTCCCACTTCATTCAACCTACTTGTGGAAACAGGTTGTAGATGCTGTGTTGACTGAAACAGGGGAAATCTCCCAATTCATTCATTTCTGCATCATGCATGGCCCTACTGATGTGCTTTGCAGTTCAGATCCTCCACAGAACAAGTTGGACGCCATTTTCAGAGTTTTCATGTAGTGGTGGAGCTTCAGCTGCTCCTTGGCAACCTGCTCATGTGGTTGCCAAGACAATATGTAGGATATTTGGAAGGGAGAATACATCCCCAACATGCAACCATTCTAACCAGTAGGAGCTTAGCAGGTTACACCTCTTGCCATGACACCACTCAGCTGCAACAGAAATATAATACATCCGGAAGATTGCAAGATGCATTTTGGAAGAAGATGGAAAACACCAGTTCAGAAAAACAAAGTATCACCTAACCTTGGCTATAGCCTGGGGTGGGGTTGGGGGGGAGACAAAGGTTGCATTGAGCAGCGGCAACCCTGAGGAAGAAGCTCAAATACTTTGGCCACCACATGAGAAGAGAGGACTCATTGGAAAAGACCCTGATGTTGGGAAAGATCAAAGGCAAAAGGAGAACAGAGGATGAAATGATTACATGGTGTCATTGACGCAGTGGGCATGATTTGGCCTAACTCTGGGAGATAGTGGAGGACGGAGACTGGCATGTTATGGTCCCTGGGGTCATGAAGAGTCGGGCATGACTTAAAGAGTGAACAACAACAAAACAAAAACCCTCAGGAATGTCTGAATTCACTAAGGCTGAAGTCAGGGGTACGTCTGAATGTCCCTTCAGTGTCACTTACTTCACAAAGTTGTTCAGAGGATAAAATGATGATGAAACAGGACATCAGGCCCATTTTACTAACTCTGTTGAAAAGCCAGCTTCATTAGGCTCCCCACTTAGAAATGTGTCTCGTATAAAATATATGAGACCATTTATTAAATTTATGAAGTGATGCCTGAAGTTGGGCTGTTTCTTCAACTTTGTCCTACTTTTTAGATTTAAGGCATGTGGATTCTTTGGTTTCAAGTTAGCCTGGAAAGATTTTTGGAGTGACAGAAGGGACTGAAATGCTATAAATACTTACACAGGTTCTTTGTAAAACTGCCTTGAAACTGAGAAGAGGAAGGGGGGAGGAGAGAGGGGGGTAGGAGAAATGGGCCCAAACAGAACAAGAGAAATCTTTGGGTTTGCCTAATCCATCCATCCATCTCCCCCTCCCTCCNGTACAAAAAAGATGTTGAAACTTTGGAAAGAATGCACAGAAGAGCAATAAAGTTAACTAGAGAACTGGAGGCTAAAACATATGATGGACGCTTGCAGGAACTGGGTAGGTTTAGTCTAACGAAGAGAAGGACTATGGGTGTCACAATACCAAACTTCCAATATTTGAAGGGCTGTCAAAGAGAAGAGGGCGTCAATCTATTATCTAGTCTAAAGCAGGGGTGTTCTCTGCCCGGTTGCTGGGTGGACGTGGCCATGGTGGGCGTGGTTTAGTCAGCCTCCTATACGTGTGTGTGTGCGCGCTTTTTGCCTTCCCTAGGCTCCAGAGGCTTCCTTTGAGCCTCCGAGAGGGCGAAAAAGGCTTCCCCAGGCTCTGGAAGCCAGAAACGGGCCCGTTTCCTGCCTTCCTGAACTTCTGGTAGGTCCATTTTTCACCCACCCTGAGCCTCTGCACCCGCCTTGCACTTACCTGCATCCAAAACGGGATGCATGGGGACTCCTGGGAGAGTGGGGAGAGATGGGAAGGGGTGGGTGTGGCCAGCCAGGAGTGGGATTTGGGGGTTCTCCGAACTGCACAGAATCTTAGCTAGAGGTTCTCCCAAACCTTTGCTAACCCTATGCAGCCCAGCCCTGGACTCTAAAGGGTCTGATGGCAAGACAAGAAGTAATGGATGAAAACTCACCAAAGACAAATCCAGAACTAAGGAAAAATTTCCTGACTGGGAGAGCAATTAATCAGTGGAATGGCTTGTGGGTGTCTGGACAGCCATTTTTCTTGGATGGCAAAGGATCATCTGCTTGAGCAGGGGGTTGGACTATAAGGCTCCTAAGGTCTCTTTGAACAGAGAGCTTCTCTCTCTTTGTTAGAGAGCTTAATCAGAAGTATCTTTCCACGCGGTTGGGTCTTCTCACCATCTTGAGGAATTCCTTGCCTCAGATGTTTCTCCTTGGGGCTTCCACTCCCACAAACAGCTTGGCTGTAATGAAAAGGGGGCCCATCTTCCCCAGCCTAGTTCTTCAAAGGGAGAGGAAGATAGCATACCTCTGCGCCTCCATGAGCTGCTTTTGTGTTTGGACATACACAATTACACAAAGAAAAGTCTTCAACTGATGCTGCCTCAGTTGGAGATTACATATAAAGAGGACCAATCACTCACCTGGTGCTGCTCTGAACGTATCTTGACGTTTCTCTATAAGGACAAAAATGAGTGAAAGCTACTAAGAATAAGAATCCACCAGAAATCATCCAATCCCTGCCTCTGTAGAAAAAAATAACAACCCCAGGAGAGAGTTTAGCAGTTGTTTAGACACAACCTCCCCGAGACTATTATTAACACTCACAGACTACAAGCACAGCACCTGATTTGCCCCAAGAGAGACCTGCTGCCTCTGAGATGGATGGAGGGAAATTGGGGGAAGCAGCAGCAGCAGGGAGGAGAGGAAGGTTTGCATGGAAATCCTTCTCTGTGCTCTTCGACCAAAGCCTTTGAAAAGGACAGCACCGGGATGCCTCTTCCCAACTCAGAAGAAGATGGGATTGTCCCAACCTCACTCAGCCAAGTCAAGACTGAAAACCCAGCAACAGGCCGAGATGCCCGATGTTCCCCAAGAAGGCTGGGAAAATAGGACAGAAGGAAGCCCGGGAAACAGATTTGGGAGGAATTTATCAGAATATTCATGAACTGGCAGTGACATGGTAACAAGGTCAGCCAATGAGTAGGCATGGTAACAGATCAGCCAAAGAGGCTTATTTGGAAACAGAAACTTAAGTAAGAAGTCTGGGTGTGGCTTAGCAGAATTAAGCTCTGAGCTCTGAAACAAAACTAGCCTGCACTTGTCTGATCTGAACTGAAATGAAACTTTTCTCTGCTGTTGGTATTTGTGTGTGTGTGTGTGTGTATGTATGTGTATATGTATGTATGTATGTATGTATGTATGTATGTATGTATGTATGTATGTATATAAAGAAGATACTTATTTTAATGAATCCTGCTGAATCAGTTATCTGTGCGTGCTTTCTGGATTTGATTTTTTGCAACAAATTCTGACAGAATCTCCCCAATTACAGTATTGTAAATAAGAATACTTACTGAAGAATACCAAAGTCCCAACAATCACACATGCCAGGACAAGACCAGCCACAAGGTAGCCAATGTAGAATCCTTTGTTGGACTTCGGAGCTGAATTGGGAGGAAGAGCAAATCATTGAATGAGAACCCCAAACAATCATTCTAATTAGGGGACATAGCACAGTCAAAGGATTGGAAACCCCCCAAATTAAAAGGGTGAAGAGCTCATGTCCCTTTAAGAGTGATATGGAAAACTGATAGATTAAAGTTCAAGTATGCTCACACCTGGACACAGCTGGGGTCAAACATCTCTCCCACAATCCTTCAGCTTGAAAAAGAGCTCAGCCTTTCCCTCCCTGCAGTCTCTCACCTTTCAGGGCCACATCCAGAGGCTCCTGCAGGCCGTCGTGCTCCACGTGGCACCAATAGCTGCTGCTCTCTTTGGGGTCGATCCGGATGCTGAGCCAGTAGTGGTAGGTCCCATCCGCGTTGGGGGCCACAGACCCATGGAAGGTATCCTTCAGCCATTCCTCCCCACCCCTCCTCCAGGAGGCATAGATCTCCCTGGGGTAGAAGCCATCCACGCGGCAGACGTACATCTCCATCCCATCCTCCACCTCCATCCGGCTGCTCATTGTCACCACTGGAGGCTCTGCAGAAAAGAATGAACTCTGAACCCCTCCAGAGCCTGGAAGGTGGATGAGAAACTTGAAAGTCTCCCGTTACTTACCAGTAGTTTTAATTTAGGGATTCAACATTTGTATTTATTAGTTTGTCAAACAAGTACAAGATAACAGGTATAAATATAAACATGGACATATACGAAAGAAATGAGTACAAATTGATGGGGACAGTACGAAAGGGACGTTAGGCACGCTGGTGCGCTTCTGTATGCCCCCTTTACGGACCTCTTAGGAATGGAGTGAGGTCCATGGTAGACAGTTTAAGGTTGAAGCTGTGAGGGTTTGAGGATGTAATAACAGAGTCAGGTAGAGCATTCCTGGCATTGACCACTGTGTTGCTGAAATCGTATTTTCTGCAATTGAGTTTGGAATAGTTTACTTTGAGTTTGTATCGTTTGCCCGTGTATTATTCAGGTTGAAGCTGAAGAAGTTGTTGACAGGTAAGATGTTGTAACAAGCAATTTTGTCCAGATTGCCCAAGCCCAAAATTTCAAGCCTGGTGGCATAAGGAATTCTATTGTGAGCAGAGGAGTGGAGGACTCTTTTCGTGAAATACCTCTGGACCTGCTCAATTGTATTAATGTCCGATATACAGAATGGATTCCAGGCAGATGAGCTGTATTTGAGGATTGGTCAAATCCTCAAAGGGGTGGGATTTAACCGGTTCTGGCAAAGGTTTTGTATGCCCTGGTTAGCAATACAATGTTACCAAAGAAGAAGCTTCACAAAATTAGGTTAACGACTCTTAATGCCACAATTGCATTATTAACATGTCACATGTTAATAATGCAATTGTGCATGTACCATTGCCAAGAGTTTTACAAATGCTCCAAATCTGGATAATATTCAAGCTCAATGATTCTTGATTTTTTAGCGACTCAGCCTAAAATTTGTAGCAGATTGTGGCTCTAAGGAAATGTCACTCAGACCGCTTTGAATTCTTAACCAAACTTGAGCTGTCCCCATGAGGGCGAGCGATATTGAAGCTGCTGTTTTAAGTTTCCTTTTTTAAAAAAACAACGACACAGACACTTTCACTTCCTCAAACTGTAAGCTCTTTCCATGGGACACAACCACAATATCAAGACAGGGAGAACCAGAATCAAAGCAGAGGCATGGAGCCTTTTGGGATCCCACACGGGTCAATTTGGAAAAATGATTGTCTCTCTCAAAGGGGGAGGGGGCAGAGAAGGGTGATGCCAAGGGAGAGACAATTCTATCAGGGCAGGGGGAGGAATGAGGCAGCAGCCCAATGGGCATAGCCTGGTGGGAACAAAAATGTGGGTCGGTGCAGATGATTTGGCACACTTAAGTAGGTGCTGATCAGGGGTGGGATTTAACCGGTTCGGGCAAACCGGTAGGTCCAACGATCAGGGGGACCCGCCTGCCCACCTCTGTGCTATACTATAATCTTCTCAGCTGATTCGTGCGGCAGAGCAGATTGCTGCGCCTCAGCTGTGTTACTCCCCAGCAGTAACACGAAACTGTCAGGCACATGCGTGCACAAAGTGCAAGATCACCAAACCGATTATTAAACTGGCAGGATCCCACCACTGGTGCAGATGAGTTGGTGTGGGCGAATGGGAGCAGATAGATGGGTGCGTATGACTGGGCACAGCCAGGTTGGTATGGAACAAGTCAACTGGGCTTGGGAACAACTTATGTCCTGCCACTTCCTTGCCTCCCTGAACTGCTGGCAGCAAAGCGCCTGCCTCCAGGAACCTGGCCGTGGTTGATCTCCCGCTGCCTCCAGATCATAATGGCCTTATGTACGAGGGGGCAGGGCGCACACGGAGGGGTCGTGTGGGCATGTGTGTGTGGGCATGTGGTGGGGGTCGAACATGCGGTGGTTGTGCATGCGGGGTGAACGCAGGAGGAGTGTGCGTGCATCAGGGATGGGTTCCTGCCAGTTCTAACCTCTTCTATAGAAGAGGTTCCACAAATCTAC